GTGTAGACTATGGTGACTGTGTGTGCCTATACAAGGGTAGACTATGGTGACTGTGTGTTACTATAGTAGAATGGTGACTGTGTGCCATATAGTGTGATATGGTGACTGTGTGTACCTATACAGGGTAGACTATGGTGAGTGTGTGCCTATGCAGGGTAGACTATGAGCTGTGTGCCTATATAGTATAGAATATGGTGACTGTGTACTATATAGTGTAGACTATGGTGACTGTGTGCCTATAGTGTAGACTATGGTGACTGTGTGTGCCTATAGTGTAGACTATGGTGACTGTGTGTGCCTATACAGGGTGGACTATGGTGACTGTGTGTACCTAGTGTAGACTATGGTGACTGTGTGTACCTATAGTGTAGACTATGGTGACTGTGTGTACCTATACAGGGTAGACTGTGAATGCTACAAGGTGGACTATGGTGACTGTGTGGCTGCTAGTGTAGAATATGGTGACTGTGTGTACCTATATAGTGTGGACTATGGGCTGTGTGTGCCTATACAGGGTAGACTATGGTGAGGTGTGTGCCTATACAGGGTGGACTATTGACTGTGTGTACCTATAGTGTAGACTATGGTGACTGTGTGTGCCTATACAGGGGTAGACTATGGTGACTGTGTGTGTACCTATACAGGGTAGACTATGGTGACTGTGTGTGCCTATCAGACTATGGTGGTGTGTGCCTATACAGACTATGGTGACTGTGTATACAGGGTAGACTATGGTGACTGTGTGTGCCTACAGGGTAGACTATGGTGACTGTGTGTGCCTATATGGTGTAGAATATGGTGACTGTTTTATTGCCTATACAGGGTAGACTATGGTGACTGTGTGTGCCTATATAGTGTAGACTATGGTGTGTGTGCCTATACAGGGTGAACTATGGTGTGTGTGCCTACAGGTAGACTATGGTGACTGTGTGTACCTATATAGTGTAGACTATGGTGACTGTGTGTATCCTATACAGGGTAGACTATGGTGACTGTGTGCCTATACAGGGGTAGACTATGGTGACTGTGTGTACCAGACAACATCGTACAGCACCATACAGTATAGCACGACGTCGTACAGCAAAAATAATCAATATATTTTATTACGCCAGACCCTCGTTCTTCCATTAGTGTGCCATCCATAAATCACCTCCTTTATAGATAAAAGCATTAGTTACTTTGATACTATAAATGGTTGAGAACGAGAATCATAACTCTCAGGCCTTATACGAACATGAACATGGCCGTGGGACCTTGTAAAGTGACGCTGCCTGCCGGGGTTGGTCGCCATCACAGAACTTCACCTACTGCCCAGGAAATGCAAATTATGGCGTCATGTTCGTTGAATAACTGTCAAAGGCAATATTTCATCTTCTTTAACTGAGTTATATTGTCGGTCTATGTCAGTTTATGCTGACTTGTGGATACTGTCGTCTTGTATGTTAATTTATAAGAGAGTAACATAATGGGTCGGAATGATGCAAAAGCTACTCTTCTCCTGATACAGGATGGTGTGTGTGTGTGTGTGTGTGGTGTGTGGTGTGTGTGTGTGTGTGTGTGGTGTGTGTGGGGTGTGTGTGTGTGTGTGTGGGTGTGTGTGTGTGTGTGTGTGTGGGTGTGGGTGTGGGTGTGTGTGTGTGTGTGTGGGTGTGTGTGTGTGTGTGTGTGTGTGGGGGTGTGTGTGTGTGGGTGTGGGTGTGTGTGTGTGTGTGTGTGTGTGGGTGTGGGTGTGTGTGTGGGTGTGTGTGTGTGTGTGTGTGTGGGTGTGGGTGTGTGTGTGTGTGTGTGGGTGTGTGTGTGTGTGTGGGTGTGTGGGTTGTGTGTGTGTGTGTGGGTGTGTGTGTGTGTGTGTGTGTGTGTGTGTGTGTGTGTGTGGGTGTGGGTGTGTGTGTGTGTGTGTGGGTGTGTGTGTGTGGGTGTGTGTGTGTGTGTGTGTGTGTGTGGGTGTGTGTGGGTGTGTGTGTGTGTGTGGGGGGTGTGTGTGTGTGTGTGTGTGTGGGTGTGTGTGTGTGTGTGTGTGTGGGGGTGTGTGTGTGTGTGTGTGTGGGTGTGGGTGTGTGTGTGTGTGTGTGTGGGGGTGTGTGTGTGTGTGTGTGGGTGTGGGTGTGTGTGTGTGTGTGGGTGTGTGTGTGTGGGGTGTGTGTGTGTGTGTGTGGGTGTGGGTGTGTGTGTGTGTGTGTGGGTGTGTGTGTGTGTGTGTGGGGGGTGTGTGTGTGTGTGTGTGTGTGGGTGTGGGTGTGTGTGTGTGTGTGTGTGTGTGTGTGTGGGGTGTGTGTGTGTGTGGGTGTGGGTGTGGGTGTGTGTGTGTGTGTGTGTGTGTGTGTGTGTGTGGGGTGTGTGTGTGTGTGTGTGTGTGGGTGTGTGTGTGTGTGTGGGTTGGGTGTGTGTGTGTGTGTGTGTGTGTGGTGTGTGGGTTGTGTGTGGTGTGTGTGTGTGTGGGTTGTGGGTGTGTGTGGGTGTGGGTTGGTGTTGGTGGGTTGGTGTGTGTGTGTGTGTGTGTGGGGTGTGTGTGTGTGGGTGTGGGTGTGGGTGTGTGTGTGTGTGTGTGTGTGTGTGTGTGTGTGTGTGTGTGTGTGTGTGTGTGTGGGTTGTGTGTGTGTGTGTGTGTGTGTGTCTGCAGGGATCTGCATATGTTTATATGCAAGCGCCTGTAAAACACCAGTAGGGTCGAGAACCTGGCACAAATCCTGTGTGAGGCCCTGGACCGTATGGGGTCTGTTTACCAAAATATGAAAAATGTGGGAAGCCAACCCCGGGTTTTGTTTATATTTAACAGGCGGTGTTTGTGTGGCGAGGTGGGCGGTGCTATGACGTCATGAGTTGGCCTTTTCATGCAGCCAATAAAATCAGAGATGGGCGGGATTATCTAGTGACGTCATTACACCATTTGGTAAAAGCCAATTGGAATAATGGTAGATGTGTAATCTGATGGTGTCATAAGTAGTCAAGCAGTTCCAGCCAGTAAGAACACTGATGCACGTGTTTATATTTTGACGTCAGAAGTAGGCCGGTTGACACCCAAAATGATAAAACATTATTTGATTTGATTATACTGTGAGGTCATGTAGACCATATCGCCAACCAATAACAACATAGGTAACAAATATGACGTCATAAATATAACACTACACCAATAGGAGGCTAAAGAATCGTATTTATCTCATGACGTCATATACACTACATTTCAAAAACAATAAGAACAAAAGAGGACATGTTCTTCTCCTGACGTCATAAACAAAACAGCCAATAAGAGCAACAGAAGCTGTGATTACCTCCTGACGCCAGAGTTGCTACACAAAGTCAATATAGCCTTAATTTACAACGCCTCACTAAACATTTCATAAATATTATAAAAAAAAACATTTATCACAAATTATCGACGACAATCCACGAAAAATAAATGTTAATTAATTCAACAGACAATTGTGCTCTTTCAACAGGTGATGTGACCGGTGGTGGGAAGGGGGAGTAGTGAGGGAAGAGAGTAGGTGTGGGAAGGGAGGGAGTAGTGGGAGTGGGGGAAGGGAGGGTGGATTGGCCTGTAGTGGGAATATTCCAGTTGGAATTTAATCAGCACTTTATTGGCTGTATCAAGTGAGGTGGTGTTGGTCAGTCTCTCTCTTCTCTCTGCGAGCAACTTGAACTAGAAGAACGAAAGAGAAGAAAGAGAGAGAGAAGAGAGAAGAAATGATAGACAGAGTAATACAGGAAAAGAAGTCAAGAGATAATTCATTCCCAACATGACTACATCATCTGCCAGGGCCGGATGAAATTTTCCTCGAGTCTTGAAAGAGTGTAGGGAACAGATTGGACCTCATAAACTTATTTACAAATCATTAGACACCGGAGTTGTGCAGAGTTGTGGAAACAGGCAAATGTAGTACCCATATTCAGAAAGGGAGACAGAGATCAGCGTCAAATTACAGGCCGATCAGTTTGACGTCAGTAATGGGGAAATTTCTGAATCAATTACACTGGTCAACAGCCAAAATGGTTCACATATGAGATCATGCTCACACAACTAATTTCATATTGCTGAATTCGAATCTGATATTTGTTTTGTTCTATCAGACCAGGTTTTATAAAAAAATCAATAGGTACAAATATTTATTCCATCACGTGTCGTGCAAAAGATGAGATTATCTCATGTGACTGTGCTTTCATGACTAATTTCATATTAATGAATATTAATTGAATGTTTCATTCTACCATCAGACCTACTTTCTAAAGAATAAAAAAATAGTAAATATAGTAACATTATCGCGTCATGCAAGATACAATTTTAAACCTATCACAGATAAGCTCATAAAAAATTGTACCAAAAACATAAGTTCACATCCTTTATAATGACAAAATATGAAGTTCTAAAAGTGCTTCTGAACTTTACTTTTCTTGTACATGCTTTCTTCGTTGCAGTGTCCAGCAATAGTCGCCCATCATGTTAGGACTGAAGTGTCCCTGATATCTCTCTCCATTATGGCGATATCTTGATGAAATCTTTCGCCGTGTTCATCACTAACGTACACCAGGTCCCTCTCCACCTGTACACAAGGTCCCTCTCCACCTGTACACAAGGTCCCTCTCCACCTGCATACACACAAGGTCCCTCCACCTGCACAAGGTCCCTCTCCACCTGTACACAAGGTCCCTCTCCACCCGTACACAAGGTCCCCTCCACCTGTACACTAGATCCCTCTCCACCTCGTACACAAGTCCCTCTCCACCTGCACACAAGGTCCCTTCCACCGTACACAAGGTCCCTCTCCACCTGCACACAAGGTCCTTTCCACCCGTACACCAGGTCCCTCTCCACCTGCACACAAGGTCCCTCTCCACCTGCACACAAGGTCCTCTCCACCACACAGGGACCCTCTCCACCTGTACACCACGTCCCCTCTCCATCCGTAACACAGGTCCCTCTCCACCTGTACACCAGGTCCTCCACCCGTACACCAGGTCCCCCTCCACCACAGTACACAAGGTCCCTCCACTCATTACAGATGGCCCCCACCTCGTACACAAAGTCCCTCTCCACCTGCACACAGGTCCCTCTCCACCTGTACACCAGGTCCCTTCCACCTGTACACCAGGTCCCTCTCCACCTGCACACAAGGTCCCTCTCCACCTGCACACAAGGTCCCTCTCCACCTGTACACAAGGTCCCTCTCCACCTGCGTACAAGGTCCCTCTCCACCTGTACACAAGGACCCTCCACCGCATACACAGAGTCCCTCTCCACCCGCACACCAGACCTCTCCACCTGCAAAGGTCCCTCCACCTGTACACAAGGTCCCTCCACCCTTACACCAGATCCCTCCATCTGTACACAAGGTCCCTCCACTGCACACCAGGTCCCTCTCCACCTGCACACAAGGTCCCTCTCCACCCTGTACACCAGGTCCCTCTCCACCTGCCACACAAGGTCCTCTCCACCTGTACACAAGGTCCCTCTCCTTCCGTACACAGGTCCCTCCACCTGCACACCAGGTCCTTCACTGCACACAAGGTTCCTCTCTGCACACCAGGTCCCTCTCCACTGCACACAAGGTCCCTCTCCACCTGCACACCAGGTCCCCTCTCCACCTGTACACCAGGTCCCCTCTCCACTCGTACACAAGGTCCCTCTCCACCTGCACACAAGGTCCCTCTCCACCCGTACAAGGTCCCTCTCCACCCGTACACCAGGTCCCTCTCACCTGCACACCAGGTCCCTCACCCGTACACCAGGTCCCTCTCCACCATACACAAGGTCCCTCTCCACCCATACACAAGGTCCCTCCACCCATACACAAGGTCCCTCTCCACCCTGCACACAGGTCCCTCTCCACCTGTACACAAGGTCCCTCTTCACCTCGTACACCAGGTCCCTCTCCACCTCGTACACCAGGTCCCTCTACACCCATACACAAGGTCCTTCTCCAGGTCGGTATCCTGAAGGAGCCAACAGGTAGAGTATCCTTCGTCAGGTCAGGAGGTGCAGGAAAGGAGTCATGTGTATCAGTTAGACGACTTTACCTTGACCTGTCAGGCCCCCAAGAGGTCACCAGGTGGGAGGGAGGAGAGAAGGAGGTCACAGGTGGGAGAGAGTGAGAGAAGGAGGTCACCAGGTGGGAGGGAGTGGAGAAGGAGGTCAGCAGGTGGGAGAGAGTAGAGAAGGAGGTCACCAGGTGGGAGGGAGGAGAGGGAGGTCACCAGGTGGGAGAGAGGAGAGAAGGAGGTCACCAGGTGGGAGGGAGGAGAGAAGGAGGTCACCAGGTGGGAGGGGAGTGAGAGAAGGAGGTCGCCAGGTGGGAGGGAGTGAGAGAAGGAGGTCGCCAGGTGGGAGGGAGGAGAGAAGGAGGTCGCCAGGTGGGAGGGAGGAGGAGATCGCCAGGTGGGGGAGTGAGAGAAGGTCACCAGGTGGGGGAGTGAGAGAAGGAGGTCGCCAGGTGGGAGGGAGGAGAGAAGAGTCACCAGGTGGGAGGGGAGAGAAGGAGGCTCGCCAGGTGGGAGAGAGTGAGAGAAGGAGGTCGCCAGGTGGGGGGGGAGTGAGAGAAGGAGGTCGCCAGGTGGGAGGGAGTGAGAGAAGGAGGTCACCAGGTGGGAGGAGGAGAGAAGGAGGTCGCCAGGTGGGAGAGAGGAGAGAAGGAGGTCGCCAGGTGGGAGAGAGGAGAGAAGGAGGTCGCCAGGTGGGAGAGAGGAGAGAAGGAGGTCGCCAGGTGGGAGAGAGTGAGAGAAGGAGGTCGCCAGGTGGGAGGGAGTGAGAGAAGGAGATCACCAGGTGGGGAGAGAGTGAGAGAAGGAGGTCGCCAGGTGGGAGGGAGTGAGAGAAGGAGGTCGCCAGGTGGGAGGGAGGAGAGAAGGAGGTCACCAGGTGGGAGAGAGTGAGAGAAGGAGGTCGCCAGGTGGGAGGGAGGAGAGAAGGAGGTCGCCAGGTGGGAGGAGGAGAGAAGGAGGTCGCCAGGTGGGAGGCAGTGAGAGAAGGAGGTCACCAGGTGGGAGAGAGAGGAGAGAAGGAGGTCGCCAGGTGGGAGAGAGTGAGAGAAGGAGGTCGCCAGGTGGGAGAGAGTGGAGAGAAGGAGGTCACCAGGTGGGAGAGAGTGAGAGAAGGAGGTCGCCAGGTGGGAGAGAGTGAGAGAAGGATGTCACCAGGTGGGAGAGAGTGAGAGAAGGAGGTCGCCAGGTGGGAGAGAGGAGAGAAGGAGGTCGCCAGGTGGGAGAGAGGAGAGAGAAGGAGGTCACCAGGTGGGAGGGAGTGAGAGAAGGAGGTCACCAGGTGGGGAGGGAGTGAGAGAATGCCAGGTGGGAGGGAGTGAGAGAAGGTGGTGCCAGGTGGGAGAGAGGAGAGAAGGAGGCCCAGGTGGGAGAGAGTGAGAGAAGGAGGTCGCCAGGTGGGGAGAGAGGAGAGAAGGAGGTCACCAGGTGGGAGGAGGTGAGAAGGAGGTCGCCAGGTGGGAGGGAGTGAGAGAAGGTCACCAGGTGGGGGGATTGAGTGAGGGAGGGAGGAGGTCGCCAGGTGGGAGGGAGTGAGAGAAGGGGTCGCCAGGTGGGGGGGAGGAGGGAGGGTGGGAGGAGGTCACCAGGTGGGGGGGGAGGAGGAGGGAGGAGGAGGTCGCCAGGTGTGAGGGGAGTGAGAGAAGGGGGTCGCCAGGTGGGAGGGAGGAGAGAAGGAGGTCACCAGGTGGGAGGGAGGAGAGAAGGGGTCGCCAGGTGGGAGGGAGTGAGAGAAGGGGTCGCCAGGTGGGGAGGGAGGAGAGAAGGAGGTCACCAGGTGGGAGGGAGGAGAGAAGGAGGGCACCAGTTGGGAGGGAGGAGAGAAGGGGGGCCAGGTGGGAGGGGAGGAGAGAAGAGGTCGCCAGGTGGGAGGGAGTGAGAGGGGGTCGCCAGGTGGGAGGGAGGAGAGAAGGAGGTCACCAGGGGATGGAGGAGAGAATGGGGTCGCCAGGTGGGGGGTGTGAGAGAAGGAGGTCGCCAGGTGGGAGGGAGTGAGAGAAGGAGGTCGCCAGGTGGGGAGGGAGGAGAGAAGGGGGTCGCCAGGTGGGAGGGAGGAGGAGGGTGGGAGGAGGTCACCAGGTGGGGGAGGAGGGAGGTGGGAGGAGGTCACCAGGTGGGGAGGAGGGAGGGGAGGGAGGAGGCCGCAGGTGGGGAGGGAGGAGAGAAGGGGGGCCATGTGGGAGGGAGGAGAGAAGGAGGTCGCCAGGTGGGGAGGGGTGAGAGAAGGAGGTCACCAGGTGGGAGGGAGGAGGGAGGGAGGTGGGGGAGGGAGGGTGGGAGGAGGTCACCAGGTGGGGGGAGGTGGAGGGAGAGAGGAGGTCACCAGGTGGGGGGGAGGGAGTGAGGAGGGAGGAGGTCACCAGGTGGGGGGGAGGAGGAGGGAGGGAGGTCACCAGGTGGGAGGGAGGAGGGAGGAGGTCACCAGGTGGGGGGAGTGAGGAGGGAGAGAGGAGGTCACCAGGTGGGGGGAGGAGGGAGGGAGGAGGTCACCAGGTGGGGGGGGAGGAGGGAGGGAGGGAGGAGGTCACCAGGTGGGGGAGGAGGGAGGGAGGAGTCGCCAGGTGGGGGGAGGAGGGAGAAGGTCGCCACATTATCATCGTCTTCATCACCATTATTATCCCTAACCAACACAATCTAACTTGGCCTCAACTTTTGTAATTTGCGCTACACTCAACAAATAATGAATTTACTAACTTAAGCCAAACTTACAAATTTCATTAAGGGAGACTGATAGATCTCTTCCCTCCTCTCCTCTCCTCCCTTCTCCCTCCTCCTCCCTCTCTCTCTCCTCTCCCATGACACCCTCTCCCTTCCACCATAACACCATTACCCAACACCACTACCATCACCAGAGGGAGTGACTGGAGAGGGAGAGGAGAGGGAGGACTGGAGAGGGGAGAGGAGAGGGAGGATTGGAGTGGTGGAGAGGAGGGAGGACTGGAGAGGGGAGGAGAGGGAGTGACTGGAGAGGGAGAGGAGAGGAGTGATTGGAGTGGTGGAGGAGAGGGAGGACTGAGGGAGAGGAGAGGGAGGACTGGAGAGGGAGTGACTGGAGGGGAGAGGAGGGGAGGACTGGAGAGGGGAGTGGAGGGAGTGATTAGAGAGGGAAGGGTGGAGGACAGGTGAGATAATGAAGCAATTATCAAGGTTGTTGAAGCTCAGGTCTGGCTAATTAACCTGAGATCACACATTCCTTGTTACCTGTACTTATGCTTTTGTTGTGGTTGTGGGTGGTGGTGGTGGTTGATGTTGTTGTTGTGGGTGGTGGTGGTGTGGTGGTTGTTGTTCTGGTGGTGGTGGTGGTGTGTCTGGGGTGGTGTTGTGCTGGGTGGTGGTGGTTGGAGTGTTGTTGTTTGTAGATGTGGTGGTGGTGGTTGGAGTGTTGTTGTGGTTGTGGATCGTGGTGGAGGTTGAGTGTCGTTGTTGTGGTTGTGTGATCGTGGTGGTTGTTGTTGTGGTTTTTGTTGTGGGTGGTGGTGGTGGTGGTTGTTGCTGTTGTGGTTGTAGACTGGTGGTGGTGGTTGGAGTGTTGTTGTTGTGGTTGTAGATGGTGGTGAGTTGAGTGTCGTTGTTGTGGTTTTGATCTTTGTGGTGTTGTTGTTGTGGTTGTGTTGGTGGTGTGGTGGTGGTGTTGCTGTGTTGATCGTGGTGGGGGTGATGTTGTTGGGTGATCGTGGTAGTTGTAGTGCGTTGTTGTGGTTGTGGGTGACTGGTGGTTGTTGTTTGGTTTTGTGTGGTGGTTGTGGTGGTGGTTGTTGCTGTTGTGGTTGTAGATCGTGTGGTGGTGGTTGGAGTGTTGTTGTGGTTGTAGATGGTGGTGGAGGTTGTTGGAGTGTCGTTGTTGTGGTTGTGGGTGATCGTAGTGGTGGTTGTTGTTGTGGTTTTTCTTGTGGTGTGTGGTGGTGGTTGTTGCTGTTGTGGTTGTAGATCGTAGTGGTGGTTGTTGGAGTGTCGTTGTTGTGGGTTGTAGGTTGTGGATGGTTGTAGCGGTTGTCGAGGTGTTGTTGTGGGTAGAGGTTGTTGCAGCACTGTTGTAGGTAGCGGTTGTTGGATGGTGTTGTTGTAATTGTGGGTGGTGGTGGTGGTGGTGGTGGTGGTAGTTATTGGAGTGTTGTTATTTTTTACGTGGTGGTAGTGGTTGTTGAATTGTTGTAGTTTTTGTAGTTGTTGTTGTTTTTGTTTGTAGTTAGTGGTGGTTGTTAGATATTTCTTTTCTTTTTCTTTCTTCTTTCTTCTTCCATCAATCTTCCTTCCTTCCTTCAATCTTCAGTCTTCCTTCTTCTTTCTTCCTTCTTCCATCAATCTTCCTACCTTCCTTCAATCTCCAGTCTTCATCTTCTACTTTCTTCTTTCTTCCTTCTTCTTCTCTCTTCCTTCTTCCATCAATCTTCCTTCCTTCCTTCATTCTCCTTTCTTCTTCTCCTCCATGTACTTATTACTTCCTTCTTCACTCGACGCCATTTTGTTTTCATTATGACGTCATCAACACCATCCTCGTATCATCATCTTAATTCCACAAAAAAACAAAACACACTTCCCTTCCTCTCATCGGATTGGACGACGTCTTATATTACTAAAACTGTCATTTTAATATCACTCTCTATGTTTTCTTCCAACCAAAACTTTCCTACCTACTGAAACTCTCTCCTCATTGGTGGCTCAAAGAGAAAAGTTCCCTGTGTCTGGGGTTGTGTTAAGAGCCATCGGGACAGGGAAAGTCATTGACGTCATCTACCACAAAAACGAAAAAAATACATTGAAGCTCCGGGTTTTCTTGCTCTTGAAAACCTGGAGCGGTATGTGATGATCCGTTAGTTTATGGTGATCAGCTGCTAGAGAGAGAGAGAGAGAGAGAGAGAGGGGAGGTGGGTGAGCTGTATGTGAGTGAGAGAGAGAAAGAGAGAGAAAGAAGGAGAGAGAGAGAGAGAGAGGGGGTGGAGTACGTGTGAAGGGAGTGAGAGAGAAAGAGAGAAAGAGG